CCAAACATAATTAATACATGTTTAAACAATGATATTGAATGAAAAGTAATAGTTTATTATTTAGCCATTTTTTTTTACTTTTGGCCTACCCTTATTCCAACCAAGTTTTAATTATTTCCTGCTAAATGTGGACAAATTGTACCTAAAAGTGTTCTTTCCTTTATACTTGTTTAAGCAATAGTAAACTGTACTTTCCCTAAGAGAAAAATAGAATAAAAATAACAATTCAGATAAAGCAGATAGGGGCCTTTTCATCCATGTGGAGAATAAGATTCTAGTATATCCTAGTGCAAGGAAAAAGACTTTTGAAGTTTTAGCCAATTTTCCATTTTTGGGCCCCACCCCTCCAGCTTCCGGAGGGAGGCAGGATCCTATTTTCTCATACCAACTACTGGTAATTGCCATCTCATCATAATTTTTCCAACTACATTTGAATTATTTCCTGCTTAAGATTGACAAAATATACAAAAAGTGCTATTTTCTTGTATAAAGTCTAGTAAACTTTACCTCAGCTTCCCAAAGGGAGAACTAATGACCAGGAGTAAATAAATTTACAATTCAGATAAATCAACTTAAAGGACCTTTTCATTCATGAAGTACTTTTGATTCTGGTACATCCGAGGAAGAGGCGTTTTGAAATTTTAGTTAATTTTCCCCCTTTAAACCCTGTCCCTCCAGCCCAAGGGGCAAGGTAGGTTCTTATTTCCTTATATCGCTCTCATCATTACTAATCAAACCAAGTTTGAATTACTTCCTGAAATTTACAATTTAGACAAAGCACCTAAGCGTCTTTCATTCACAAAAGAGTGTTGATTCTAGTACATCTGAATCTGGAGAAGAAGATTTCTGAAGCATTGTTCACCTCAGGGAATGGGGCAGGAATGCCAAATTTACAATTTGATAACCTCTTCCACCAATGATGATTCTTAGTAAGTTTGAAAGAAATGCATGAATTCACTGCTTCCTAAGAAGAATTAAAAAAAATATAAGTTTGGAAGAAAAGTGTTTAGGTCACTTGAGCCTTTGTTCCTGTATACTATATGGTAAATATTCCTCCATCAATACTTGAATATTTACCATATAAAGAAATAAGAAAATCACTAAAACTGATGGATTGTGCTCCCCAAAAAAGTCATTTGGGACTCGAATAAAGGTNTAGCAAGTAATCACCCTTCATGTAAAGTATAATGTATGAACATTGACCATATAAAACAAAATTAACAAAACAAAGCCTACCGTTTTTGTGTCTATAACGGATCACGTTTGTCTATAACGGATCGCGCCCCCTGGTGGGCCTCTGACGGTGATGCTCGATTGCTGGGTGGTCTCAAAACATTTTTCTGTCAGGTAATAATAATGATAATAATAACTTTATTTAAAGAGGGTTACACATTTAGTACAAGACTGAGCTTCCATGCGGCCCAATAGATACACGGACAACTTTAAAGACGATATCTTAGTTAAACGCTTTTGCTCAACTGCTCAATTGTCCATGGGGTTCCAATTAATGAAACAAAATTGTATAACGTCACGCTACCACAATTCTGAGAGTTTTGGACTGATATTGAAAAATGCAGATCATGTATCTGGACTGTTTCTTGATTCTTGTCAACGTTAACCCATGATTATTTCAGAAAAAGTTTTGATTCTATAAGTAATTTGTTTTTCAAAATAGAACCCTAAACTCCCAGTGAGATTTTGTCCGTTTTTCGGCGATGATTACCATATCACAGGCCAAGAAACTTGTTTGTATTTAAACTAGTTGAGGTGCCGACACCCTTGATATCCAGGGGTTACGCTCATTTACGCTCTCTACACCCCCTAGAAAATAGAAGACTCAGTGTGCGCCACCTTGTTGATTTGAGATTTGAGATTTTTATTATCACTCAGGCACACTATTGTGCGCAACAAGAGGTCATCATAAAGTACAATATAACAATGATATGGTTGACCGTAAATCACTCATCTTACTATGCTAGCGTACAATAATATAGTGGAAACTATTACACTCCTCATACAATGATAAACACAATATTACACTGTACTAGCAAACCTTATTATAATAGTCAGTATAACGCACTGATCATACAATGACACTCATCATACACTGTGATATACATGATTACACTCATTTTACGATGAGACAAGAAGACTAGTTCGACCCTTTGATGTACATCAAAAGAATCTCTCGGTCACGTAACGGTAAAAATTGACAGGTTTTGAAGTCGGTCATCTCAGTCTCCTTTGTAATCTTCAAAGGACAGGTATCAGCCTAGCGATTGGTCAGTATTTTTTACCTGAGACAAATCAAACAGCTTTCTTCGTGCCTTCAGTTTTGCTATGACATATTCCAGGGTGTAGAGAGCGAAAGTGAGCGTAACCCCTTGCTACATGTATCAAGGATGATGTGCCGTTTGCAACAAAGACCAGAAATCAACATTGAAACATACTTATAATTAACATCTTTAAAATCCTCCTAAATTTAGTCTACGTGTACGTTGTTTTTACTGGCTTTCTGATATGTTTACTTTGTCATCGTGTACTCTTAAAATGGTCCGTTTTCATGCTGACTTTTGGTTATATGCTATGTAATAACACCAATTCACTCAAAAGAAGGGACTACAATAGTATATGTAAACTGAAAATGTATGTCTTTTTTATAATCCATAAATGAAGAGTATATAAAACAAAACAAAAAGGAGGAAAAAACGATGTCGACGCTTTCGTTTAAAATTGTTTGTGTTTTTTGTATTCATTGAAGTTTCATGTGTCTACGAATCCTGTACGTAGTGCTAATGATGTGATGTCTGATACAGTGTAAACACATTAAACAACTGTTTTAATTAAGTATGCCTTTCTACTACCCACTGCTGTTCAAGGGTTTAAGGCCCATTCCTCTCTCTGCCATTTCACATAAACAGGTTGCAATCACATTCTCACGAATTGATAATATATTGTGTAGGTATTAATATTGTCTGACGTCCGACTGGGGTTTTATGGAGTGTTCCTATCTGTATTACAAAAGGTCATAATAAGCTCATTACTAATTGTTTTACAAGTGAATACGTGTATCTGGATTATCCTTTATTGGCCGAGTTTCACGACTGATCGGGTCTTGAAAATTTTGAATTTGAATTTGAATTTGTTATGTCAATGGGTGACGTAGGATCAGCTTGCCTGTTTTGCCCGACAGGGTATACGTAGGAACGCGTGAGAGAGTTCAGACTGTGAGAGAATGAGGATTTTACAGGGGCGGATCCAGGATTACCTAAAAGGGGGGCCGAAGATTTTTTTTCCCAATAGTCAAACGGTGTGCTGCTGAAGGCAGCACCCCGAACGCGTAGCGCGAGTATGGGGAGGGTACGGGAGGGGGTCTTGTGTTTTTCTAGAACGTCTCAGAAGCGATTTCCCGTGTTCTGAGGATTGATTTTAACTTAACAAGAAGAAAAAAACATATTTTAAGTATGGCCCAAAGACTTTTTTTGTCTACTGGAAAGAAAATTAAAGTTTCGGTTCAAGTTCTCTATCAACAGAGTGTTTTAGAAGTCAGATGGTATTACTATAGGGGCAACCTGGTGATGACAAATGTATGAATCCACAGGGGGCTTGTTCATTATTACCTAATTTGGCGTCCCGCCCGCAAGGGGGATACGAGAGGTCCACCGTCAAAAAATAAATGTAGGGACGCACAATATCTAGTCTTCAGACATTGTATCTACAGTACAGTACAGATGTTTTGGGTTTCAATTAACCTTTAAGCTTCAGTGTGTCGTGATTCATAATATATAATAGTATACTAAAAAGTGATTCTATTATATAACTATTTTTGTTTCCACGTAGACCATTTCTTTATGGGTCTGTTTTCTGTAGATATAGTGTGGGGTTGAACTATAGCCTTAAAAGATTCTTTTACAGGTAACAAGTGTCGAGGTACTCCTTGTTTAATTAGAATACTTTCTATTTCTTTTATGTAGAGCAAAGCATACTTAGTTTTAAAACGACTTGTTAATTGTTTCAGGTAATCATTGAGACTTATGACGAACGAGGACAAATAAGGACAACTAGTGACAACTAGGGGACAACTAGGGACAACTATGGTCTAATAGTGGACAAATAGTGGACAACTAGGGACAACTAGGGACAAATAGGGGACAATAGGGGACAATAGGGGACAAATAGGGGACAACTAGGGACAAATAGGGGACAAATAGGGGACAACTAGGGACAAATAGTTGACAAATAGGGGACAAATAGGGACAAATAGGGGACAAATAGGGGACAACTAGGGACAAATAGTTGACAAATAGGGACAAATAGGGACAAATAGGGGACAAATAGAGGACAACTAGGGGACAACTAGGGACAAAAAGGGACAAATAGTGGACAAGTGTGTACAAATAGGGGACAAATAGGGGACAAGTGTGTACAAATAGTGGACAACATACAATACAGAATCAGCAGTATCTGCATATTTTTACATCAAAAAAAATATTTCGTACTTGTTTTAATTTAGTCTCGAAATACGTTCTTTCACATTGATCGATTTATCTATCTATTATTAAAATAACCTTAGTTTCAAACTTCTTAGAAAAAATCAAGAAGGATTCTATACAAAAAATAAAATAATAAAAAATAAAATAAAAATGACAACGGCGCGCATCGAACCCGCGACCATGTGCCCACAATCAGAATTCGACCAATCAGATTTAACGAAGTAAAAGTATCAGCCATATTGAAACCCAAAACATCTAGAAGAAACAAACCGCATATCGACTTGCACGTTCTGCTACAGCACCGACACACTCACTTCCTACACGAAAAGAAAGTTCATCTCGATTTAATACCACACTCGAAAACACCGTAAATATGCCGTGAATTTTATTTATATTGTAAATAACGCATTATTGTGAGAAACAGAGCCCCTCATTTTCACGGAGACATGATTGCAAACAGTCTACAAAATGTAAAGCAGCAGCAGGAAAAACCCAGAAGAACCGAGAGAGAGTGCCTACTAATATTTATTGAGTATATGTACAATGAAACGCATTCTGTTTCCTTCTTCTTCTTCTTTCTCACAGGGTCCAGTGGTCGAGTGTAGTCCTATTACCTAGCATACCTAAAAACCAGAAGGAAATATTTAATACAGATACAAGGGCGATAATCCTGTCAGTACCTCAAAAATGATGACATCACAATCAAAACACACGTGATGAATAGATGTTACTATGAGCCGCAGGGTCGGGGGGTTGCTAAGNACACATTAAACAACTGTTTTAATTAAGTATGCCTTTCTACTACCCACTGCTGTTCACGGGTTTAAGGCCCATTCCTCTCTCTGCCATTTCACATAACCAGGTTGCAATCGCATTCTCACGAATAGATAATATATTGTGTAGGTATTAATATTGTCTGACGTCCGACTGGGGTTTTATGGAGTGTTCCTATCTGTATTACAAAATGTCATAATAAGCTCATTACTAATTGTTTTACAAGTGAATACGTGTATCTGGTTTATTGGCCGAGTTTCACGACTGATCGGGTCTTGAAAATTTTGAATTTGAATTTGAATTTGTTATGTCAATGGGTGACATATGATCAGCTTGCCTGTTTTGCCCGATAGGGTATACGTAGGAACGCGTGAGAGTGTTCAGACTGTGAGAGAATGAGGATTTTACACCACGGAAATCACGAGAGCTGGATTGTCTGTTGCCTGGGTGCTGCGTCTACGATATGCTTATACTACTGCAATTTGTTCACATGTATTAAATGTTGCCGTTTTGATATAAAACTCGGAGAATGTGTTGGATTAAACATATCTGTCTAATCATAAAGTGTACACTCTTTATTAGTGTGTTATTCTAAAATAATACCTGTTCAAAGTAATTAGGGAAATGTACCAAAATCACGGAAGTCAATAATTAGATTGCTTTCCGTGACCCGCAAATATATTATAATAATTACATTTCTTCGTTTGTCACATTGATTATTGCTTACGTTTATGGCCATATAAGCATGTGCATTATTTTTTACTAGCTGCATTATGGCTCTCAGTGGGTTTTTGTTTTTCATGACACTTAAGTTGGGGAATATCTTCCAAAAAAGCCCCCCCCCCCGGAAAATATTACATTTCTGTTCAGCCAACAAAGGAATTAATATTCAATATTATTTATGTTCTTTTATTACCATAGTTTGCAATAATGTTCACAATTTTAATATGATTGGGAGTGTATGTGTATTGAATATTTAAACGGTGTCCAGCTATAAGCGTTTTGAAAGTGTGGAGTTTAATGATGTGCTTTTGCAGTCATGTTTTGGTCAATGACAATATGGATTTGAGAATTAATGGCCCGATTCAAGGTAGAGTAACAAGTTTGCTATATGTAAACATGCTATTTTTGGTATCAAATCGGCCGAGGTTTTTCAGATGGTTCCGAGTGATGCTAGGTAGCCCGCAATTTATCGCTTAGTTTAGCCTTGCTTAAAACATTAATTTGCAGGTATAGCCTATTACGCTCTAGCAGAGACGTATATATAAACGTCTCTGGCTCTAGGTAATTTTAGAACGATTCAATTCAATAATACTGCAAACAAAGAAAAAAATCTGTTGCAGGTATTAAACACATACGAAAGTTTTGTTTAATTGCAATAGCAGCGAGTTTACAAGTATAACAGTTGTAAGCGTAAAACGTTCATTTCATGTAAAATAATAAATCATATATTTTCATGGCAAACAACTAAGAAACATGTAGGTAACATTTACACTTGTAAGCTATTAATCCGAAGTGCTGATATGGATTCTCAAATTATATTTCAGTTGGCTTCAAAATATTTTTTTAACTATTTTGACAACAACAAAAAACAATTAAAAAAACACTGGTGTGTTATTAGATCGAGTGAAGAATGACCAAGCTGGAGCTCACCAGGCTCGGTTTCGGGATTTTGAATAATATAATCATAATTATTAATTGTAATAATTTTGATTGATAAAATATGCGTATACACATCAGTAAATTCAAGCAACACCTTGTATACGGTGTTAATACACATTCTAACCTGGTTATCAAAAAAAGCTAAGATTTGTGATGGAGCTGCCAAACTGACAAGATAATGAAAGTCAATCTCTTGGCTTTCCATGAGGAATCCCCGCATTTACTTAACCCAGGTCTAAAAAAAAACCAGGCAACAAGACCATGATGTAGCCTAACCTGGAGTACCGTGACAGCAAACGGGACCATCAATAAAGAAAAACAATATATTGATATGGTCCAGAAACATGCTGTAAGATGTGCTTTTAACAGGTATCATAATACATCACGGGATGACGATGATGCACTGCATGCATTAAGATGGCTTGGTTGCAGTCAACAAAAACAGATACCTGACCCCACCTACCCTGTGCAACAACTGGACAACAACTGACTCTTTGCTATGAGCTACTTTGTACCACCATTGTCAACTGATTACTAGATACTGCATAAAAAGGAGGGAGGGATATAGTGGAACTGGACTGGGTTGATTGTCGGCAATCAGGTAGCTCAAACTCCTTCTTTGTGAGATCCATCGCTCAGTGGAACACCAAGACATATAGATCAAGTTCGAGCACCATCCTTGAAATCCTTCAAGGATGCTTTGGAGAGAGCAACAGAGGACTAATATAACTACAACTTCTATATATACATGTAGTTTTTACCTATTTACCTAAACAAATAGCCTCCTAAGAGGCATGCTTGTAAAACAAGTATTTAAAACTAGTAAGACAACCATTGAACTAGCTCCTGGTTTATACAGATAGTATATCACTAGTACTTGGCTAACACAGGCAGTATTACACCAGACTTATACGGAAATAAGTTTTAGCACCAGGTTTATACAGGTAGTATATCACTATAGTGCTTGGCTAACACCGGCAGTATAACACCAGACTTATACGGAAATACGTTTTAGCACCAGGTTTATATAGATAGTGTAACATTAGCACAAGCTTACAATAAACATAGTTGAGCACCAGCCATAGGTACCGTTTTGTAAAGTTAGTTTGTTCCGTAAAACACCCAAATTATGTTTTTAACCCCAAAAATGGTCGTGACACAAGAACTGTAATATAGCCTTATATCTGGGGGTAAAGAATTTTGAAAATCTATTTATAACACCCCTAAATATAAAGTCCATGGAGGAACCCTGGATTAATTGCAGTCTAAAGGTCAACATTTTGCAGGCCCCATTATGTACCTTACAGTGCCCCCATGGTGAATGTTTAGTAACAATGACCTTTACTTTGACCTCAGAACTGTATTAAATAGTATGTAGATGTGTAATAGGCGTTTAAAACACAGTTCTGTGCAATAGGGGTTCAAACACTTTCTAATGTCTAGGCCAAATTATATGTTGAGGCCATGACGAATCCCAAAAACTGAATTTCGACCATTCCGGCATTGGATGTAAAGTAAATCCACTATGTATCAATCTTATGATATCAACATAGTTTTCCACATACAACTCGAAGATATAGCCGATATTTTCTTGGCCTATCAAATGCTGTGACGGCCATCTTGAGTTGGACAAAATCAGAAGCTGGCAATTTGATGTTAAGGTTATCCCTTTTGTATGACAGAAACCTTTACTGTAATAGGGAACACTGTTTTGTATGACAGAAACCTTTACTGTAATTGGGAACACTATTTGGTGTGACAGAAACCTTTACTGTAATAGGGAACACTATTTTGTATGACAGAAACCTTTACTGTAATAGGCAACACTATTTTGTCTGAAAGAAACCTTTACTGTAATAGTCAACACTATTTTGTCTGAAAGAAACCTTTACTGTAATAGGTAACTCTGTTTTGTATGACAGAATCCTTTACTGTAATAGGGAACAATATTTTGTGTGACAAAAACCTTTACTGTAATTAGGAACACTATTTGATGTGACAGAAACCTTTACTGTCATAGGGAACACTGTTTTGTATTACAGAAACCTTTACTGTAATAAGGAACACTATTTTGTATGAGAGAAACCTTTACTGTAATTGGGAACACTATTTGGTGTGACAGAAGCCTTTGCTGTAATAGGGAACACTATTTTGTATGAGAGAAACCTTTACTGTAATAGTCAACACTATTTTGTCTGAAAGAAACCTTTACTGTAATAGGGAACACTGTTTTGTATGACAGAAACTTTTACTGTAATAGGAAACACTATTTTGTATGACAGAAACCTTTACTGTAATAGGGAACACTATTTTGTATGACAGAAACCTTTACTGTAATAGGGAACACTGTTTTGTATGACAGAAACCTTTACTGTAATAGGGAACACTATTTTGTGTGACAGAAACCTTTACTGTAATAGGGAACACTGTTTTGGAAAATTTGTCTGGACAAGGTTTTGAAATAAACATACAAAAAGGCAATAACTTTTTTTTCAAAAGTCTATTTTAACCGCAATATATATAACAGCTGCACAACTTAGATGTACCGACCATGCAATTAGTATATTGTCATTTATTTCAAACATATTTTAATCCACTTATAAATACTTATCAAAGTGTAAACACTGTATAATCAGTTATTGTTATTCTGTCTAGATTCTGACAAAGACTATAATACAAAAGGCCTCATTGTTCATGTATGGTTCAGATGCAGAGACGTATAATTACAGTTGTGTGTGGTTGATGACATATTCTCATACTCCAGAAAATAATTACAAAATTGATGACCCAGAAGGGAAAAACCCATCTTATTTACACCAATATCAATCCGCCAACAAAAATCGAAAACATGCTATAAATATACATTATTCAAAAGCTCAATACCTGTAGATTCCAATAATCAAAACACATGTAACAAATTCTATGCTTATAATTCTTATGAGCACAGTGTTTAGCCAGGTCTAATTTTAAGTAGGAACTACAAACATATGAAACACTTGCTGGGCTGTTTTAGGGATAAATCCTCGTGTGTAATTATGCGTAGAAATATACTTATAACCCTTTGTATACTTTTTTTTACAGGAAGTAGTCTTTAAATTTTCTGTCCTCCTCCCAAGAAACAGCTTCATAGGTGTGAGGATCAATATGAAAGCATTCTCGACATATAATGTCTATCTCTAGTGATCAATCGACTGCATTCTTTTCCTGAAACTGATGTAAAATACAGCATTTTAAAACCACTTTTTCATTTAATGTGGACTAATGACCCCTAAATTAGTTTACAGTTTTAAACATGTATGTCAGCACATTAAGAGATACAATGGTACAATAAATGTAATATTTCATTCAACAGATCCAATATCGACACCCGGTAAAATATGTTGAGCGAGTAACACTATATACCAGGCAAAAGTGGCAGATAAGGTAAACCGGAAGTATAATTATTGCGACTTGAGTTATATATAGAACTGTAACAAAACAATGAGATTGCCTGCAGTGGGCACAGGCTCGATC